AGTAGCAGCAAATAATAAATAATGAGTAGCAGCAAATAATACATAATAAATAACAGGAAATAATAAGTAATAATCATAGAGTCATCGAAGAAGCTGCGTCCATTTGTTGGAAGAGCTACTTATGCAGTTTCGACCGTGCTCCATTGTCGCAAATGTAAAGGCATTGCAACCGCATTAGAACCGCATTGTAACCGATATCCTATTATGCTGATAAGGAATAGAAGAAGGCTCGTTGGTTCGTCGAACTTTGTCAAGCGAGCGATAAGGCGACCTCAAAGAAGATTGCGATCAAGTTAATGAATAGTAGTCGTGTTCCATCGTCAAAGTCAAAATCAAGGTGCAACAGCGAAACGATTTCGTTTAGATAGGCAATTTAAAATTGCTATTGTTGGACTGCGGCATTTTTATGCAAAATACGAATTGCCTGCGCTAATTGCAAGACTTCGAAGCTGTGTGCGTCGACGGTCTCGTTCGTTCTTCAATTATTTCGTCAAGCTGAAAACAATTGGGTAGTATTTAAAAATTTTTTTCTACAAATATTTTCACTGTTCTTTTTTTGTTTTAGTCATTTTTGTCATAATCGATATCGAAGCCGCAGTAATCACGAACGATCGAACCGATCTCTCGTTGTGTTACTTTATAAATGTTCAGAATTCAAACGTAAGATTCCTGTGGACGTATTTTTGAACCTACGTTCCTCGGGAGAATACTGAAGAAATGGATATTTTGCGAAGATTCGCGCTAGAATACCACGTGTTATTGGCGTGTTGAAACAATGATCGCGCGTTCGTCAGCGTCGAGAGTGCCGGGACCGTCGAGACTGTCATAGTGGCAAGAGACAATCGGCCGGTTACCGCTGTCAAGCCGCCGTCGCGACGAGCGTCGCGGATTCGGAGCGTGTGCACGAAGATCTGTCACTCTCTCTTTCTNGCGTGTGCACGAAGATCTCTCTCTCTCTCTCTCTCTCTCTCTCTCTCTCTCTCTCTCTCGCCGTGCGTGTAGAATCGTCTGCCTCTCGCGTGTTGCCGTTGCCTCGCTCGAGACAAACGTGTTCCACGTGTCTGACCTCAAACTCCTCGTTCTTCCGCGAGTTGGCAAACATGTGACCTTCTATTACATAATCCCGAGAGTGTTTCCACGTGTAACGCGATCTACTTGCTCCGAGGAAGAACACTTTGATCCGCTACAACCGAAAATGTATCTTGCCGAAATGCTGTCCTCCGCCTCCTCCTCCTCCTCCTCCTCCTCCTCCCTCTGTGGCATAATACAAAAATCGTCTCGTCATTTGTAAATTGCTCGTTTGCAATTCCCCCTCGCCACTAATTGGCAATTCCTTGACCCTTGCTTCGAAATTTCTTGTTAATTCTTTATAGCAATTCTTGTCAATTCTTTAGCAATTCTTGTCAATCCTTTAGCAATTCTTTAGCAATTCTGATCAATTCTTTAGCAATTCTGATCAATTCTTTAGCAATTCTGGTCAATTCTTTGCTAATTCTTGTGCCAATTCTTTAGCAATCCTGGTCAATTCTTTGCTAATTTTTGTGTCAATTCTTTGCTAATTCTTGTGTCAATTCATTGCTAATTCTTTGCTAATTCTTATGTCAATTCTTGTGTCAATTCTTGTGTCAATTCTTCTATCAATTCTTCTATCAATTCTTGTCTCAATTCTTCTATCAGCTCTTTGACAATTTTTTTGTCAATTCTTTGGCAATTTTTCTATCAATTCTCCTATCAATTCTTTGACAAATCATGATATTCATAATATTATAACTTAGGCAAAATAGGAAAAGAGAAAGAAAAAGAAAAAATGGTAAGAATGAAAAAATGAAAAAGTGTGAAGAAAAAGAAAAAAAAGAAGAAAAAGAAAGAGCCTATTGTAAAGTGATTTGAAAGCGTATGGAAACGAGTCTGCGGGCAGTGCAGTTTATTTTGAGATCAGATAAACTTTCTTCGGGTCGTACAGATTCCAAGAATGGTTGCATCGATTATGTCAGCACGGGAGAACCGAACTGAACCGAGCCGAACCGAGCCGAACTTTTGCGACCGTCCTACAATCGCTGTGGTTCACGTATCCGAACTTACCAAGGACGAACGTGTCCGATTCGTTTCGTGTCAGTTGCTCGAAGCAGACCGGTCTGCTGCGCAAGTCGTTCGCAAAGATCGTTTCAGGGAACGCGAATATCGATGATGCATACTAAAATTATGTCATCCTTTTAATCCGCCATAAATCTCGTTTACGATTGATCTTCGCCAAGGCACCGGCACATTTTTCTATTGTCTGTCAGTCGTAATAGCCGGTTGCAGTTTCTATTATCGAACGGAAAATCTATTAACAACAGCGGACAAACTGTTTTTCTACTAGGCGCCGTACCCTAAGTTCGTTGAATAAAAATAACAGAGCAATAGATAATTTATTATTGCTAAATTTTCGTTAGTTTGCAGTGTTTACGTAAAGCATCGAGCGAATTCGAAAGGAAGGAATTGATCAATAAATTATGGAAAAACGATAGATTCTGATTTTTATTCAAATCGATTATTTCTCGAATTAATTCCTGTACAAATAAATTTTGATTCGAGACTAACAAATAAATTCTTATTCAAATGCGAATGTTTGTACGAATAAAATCTTATTCGGATAAATTGTTATCCAGGTAAATTTTTATTCGATAGCGTCGAATAAGATTATATTCGTTAACCCTTGTCTCTTATCTCCCGACGAGAGTTGCTAAACTGTTTTAAAACTTTTCAATAACGATCTGTAGTCGTCGCTGCAGCAACAGGTAGCGATCAGTCTGTGCTCCCTGCAAGTATTCGCATGAAGAAATCGGCAATCCGCCAATTTACATTGATAAGGGAGGTCATGGATATAAGGGTCTGTACAGCAACACGCATCGTGCAATAATTTCTCTCCGCAATACGGGTACACCGAGTTGTCGCACAAAGGACACCGTCTGAAACATCGAATACAAAAAATTAATCTTTGCTTAAATAATTATTGTATTCTAATGAAGGGAAAAAATTGTTGAGATATATTTTTCATTGATAAATTATACGAAGTATATCGAATATATTATAACATTATGAAACTAATTAAATAGAATAACAATGAAATAAAATAACACGTTATTTGAAATGATAATATTTCAAATAATGTTATTTGAAACGCGCCCACAATAAAACAGAGCAGGATGATCCGCAAAATGGGACACTTACCTGCTATATGTTGGTTTGTAATTGTAATTGGTTGGAACGTCGTAATGTTTAATGTTCTGTTCAGGTATTCCTGTTGAAAGTGGAGCGAATGCGGCTGCTTGTTTTGCTTCTGTTATCGGACTGCTCGTCGCATCGCTTCGTTCATCTGCTTGATAATTATTATATTATAATATATTATAATATATATTAAATAATTAATAATTATTTATATATTATTTATAATATATATTAAATAATTAATAATTATTTATATATTATTTATATTTATTATATTTATTTATATATTAATAATTAATAATATATAATATATATAAAATAATAATATATATATATATATATATATATATATATATATATATATTATAATATAATTATTATATTATAATTATTTGGCATGGATTAATTATAAAATCAAAATAGCAATTTCGTTTCCGCAGTATGATAACTAAAAATTCTCTTAATTTGCACGATAACGATAAAACTGTAGCATTTTATGCAAATTAAAATTTGTCCGCACCAATTGCAATAAATAGAAACCAAGAAAAGAGTTATTCCTTGCTTTTGATAAATTGAAAATAAAAAATTAACATTCCTAAATTATTCTAGAGTTTCTATTGTTTGAAATTGTAATAAAAATATTGGAGGAATTTCACGGCTTTCGTGTACTCACCTGAACCAGTAACGACGCCAGAACGAAGAATTAAATATACTCCGAGTGTTACCGCGAAGGTAGACATTTCTCCTGAATTGCAATTGAAATTGATCTGTGCTTTAGCCCACACTGTCGTGCACTGACACGTCTTCCCACTGAAATAGGCTACTCAATGTGATTTTTCGTTGGATTTCTGTTCAAAGCCCACGCAACTTCCATTTACATACACGTAGCTCGGGTTTCAGGTTTCTCAGGTGAGAAACATCGTAAGTGGCCAGAGTACCCGTTACTTGTAACTGGTTCGGATCTTCCATTTCCTCTCGTTGAAACATTACCAATACATTTGGCAGTCGTAACTAGACCGCAGATTTCATGCTACTAATTGTAAGTGAAATTCGGAGCAATGAAGCACGCGGTAAACGAATTTAAGAACATAAATATTAATGGTCAAGAGCGAGTTTTTAGAAGCTTGTAGGTACCTAAAGGATATTCTGGCTCTAAATCTCTTCTAAGAATGTTTTTCAATATAACTAGTTTTATTTAACAACTCGGGAGGAACGTCTTCTAAATTCTTATACGATATCAATGCAGTAGATCCTCCTGGATATTTATGTGCTCTTGGTTTAATTTTGTATGGCCTAATTTTGTCAAAATTAATGTTTTTATGTGACTCTGCAGAGAGCATATGTGGCGCCTCTAGTGGAGAAATAATGAAGCTGCTCCGGCTTGCGTACAGCGCCAATTTAATGCAGCGGTAGAACGCTCAAACTGTTCCCCGAATTCGATGGTCGGTAATTGGGCAAACAGTTTGAGCATTCTGCCACCGCATCAATTGGCGCTGTACATACATCGACGGAGCTAGACAAATTCGACGGTCGGTAATTCGGCGAACAGTTTCAGCGTTTTGCCACTCCACCAATTGGCGCTGTACAGACATCGACGGAGCTAACCAAATTCGACGATCGGTAATTCGGCGAACAGTTTGAGCGTTCTGCCACCGCACTAATTGGCGCTGTACAAACATCAAAAGCAGGTTCATCGTTTCTCCACTAGAGGCGCCACATATGCATTTGCAGGATCTATAACTATATTGTTATTATGTGTTATAACATAATTAAATAATTTAAAAAATTATATTATTTTTGGTTTCTGAGTTTTTCGTACGGGTTGAAAAAATTGATGATAAAGAATAGGGAAAGATTTCTGAAATATTTACATTAGAAAATTTATTAGAAATTCAACATTTCTTCTTAATTTTAATTAATTCCAATTAATTTAAGTCCACTTTATGGTGGACCACTATGTGGTGGATTCTGTGGATGTAACACATGGTTTCATACGATTTAACGTATATGTTAATAAGTGAAGATTTTGTAGCAACTTCGTAACTCTTGTATAATGTCGTTCAGTATAGGGTATCGTAGATTCCATCGTGAGCATAGAGTTTTCATGCAATTGCTCCTGTTCCACTATTAGAGCCCTTAGAACAATCTGTTAAATAAAGAATAAATATTATAGTGTTGATAAATTATTTTTCGACATTTTAACAGTTCGTTTGAAAATGTACCTGAGCCACTTGACAGGTTTTGCTGTTAGTATTCCATATGGTAGCACATTTCAACAATTCTTCCTTGTTTGAAGAGTTTAACTCATTAATTGTTTTTATAAGCTTAGGATAACTCTCAATTAAAATACCTGTTTCAAAGGAAATGAGAGCAATGAAAATCAATAGTTATAAATTCCCTGAATCCTCACATCGGAATTTAATTTTTACGATCGTTTCACAGAATCTTATGATTTCTTCAGATTTGAAAATATTAATAATGTCAATGTAAAGGTATAACTTACTTTCTATAATCTTCAGTACTTGCTTGGGTCGTTTTAACTTCAGACTTAAATTTAGCGCAGAACTTAGTTTATTCGCCTTCAGTAAATTTGCTAATTCCTGTTCTTCGAGTGCCAATTGTTTCTTTTCTAATTCTGTTTTTTCCTTGTTTTCTTGCGTTACGTCTTTCCAAGTAATTAATAATGAATCACTTCCGCCACTAATTATTATCTTCTCGTCTTTTCTAACTACATTTAGAGCGTTACATTAGTATATCACAAATTACTTAAAAATTCAAGTGTACTCAAATAATACTTGCCAGCCATTGCCCACACACGACTGTCATGCTCTTCTAAACTGCATAAACACTCGGACGTTTTGATACTCCAAAGTTTTAAAAGCCCATCTCCGCTCGCTGTAATCAACTGCATACCACGTGATAAAAATTCTGCTTTCAATACTGAAGATTCATGACCCTCCATTGTCTATAATATTAATGTTATTCAAAGTATAATGTTGTTCAGTTGTAGGTAATTCTTCTTTTAGAGTGCTATTACAATACAATACGTAGCTGATTTTATACGATTCCAATGACTATATTGTGATGATTTCGGGACTTACTTTTAAACAGGAAAGATCCGACAGTGACCAGAGCTTCATTGTACAGTCGGCCGATGTTGTCAAAAGTACTTGATCTATTGGAGAAAACCTTACACACCAAACACCTCTTTTGTGACCATGAAATACTCCAAGTAATTGTAAATCATTAGCTGACCATAACTGCAATACATAGGTAAAACAAATTTCTGAAGGAAGTATGTAGCACAAAGGAATATTAGTTATGAACCATTTCAAATTTAATTTATCGCACTTTTGCTGTTTTATCTTGTGATCCAGTAGCAATTAATCTGTCATTTGGTGAAATAGTCACGGAATTAATATCCTTTTCATGAGCTAAAACAGTGTGCACTACATCCAGGGAATGTTCATCTGTAATGATTAAATATCTGATACAGTATTAAAGATAAGACATTAATGATGACAAGAAAAATTATAATTACCATCAAACTCTAAATTGTTTGGTAAATTCCACAATTTAAGACACAAATCTTGACTAACGGAAGTAAAGAATTTACATGACATTTGAGAAATTGCAATAGATCCAACAGAAGCAGTATGCCTAGTAGCAGATGCAACACAAGACACTTTCAAAGATTGCTTATCCATATACCATACACGAATACTATTATCCTATAAACATATAACATCCTATATAATTTAAATATTATTTAAATTACATTTTTTGTGCATATCATATTATTATAAAACCTACCTTTGCCGCAGACAGAAATAAATAGACATTGGCAGACGTTGTAGCAAGAGCCATAACAATATCTAAATGCCCGCGCAATAATTCGCAATTCATAGTTGATGTATTATACAATTTAATGTCCCAACTGTTAGTAGCAACGGCTATGTGGGTTCCATTCTCTCCAATGTAGACAACATCCAAAATTTCGTCACTATAACCGGCCAACTGAAAATAGTTTAATAATTTTATTATCATCAATACGTACTCAAATATCAATTAATTGCAAACACTAGTACTACTCGCCTGTTTAATACATTCAAACGTTTCTAATGAATAAACAATTATATTGTGATCAACAGTAACTGCAGCACAAGTATTATTGTTTTGATTATAAAGTAAATGTGTAATGGAAAGGTTTCCTTCTTCTCCTTCTGTTGATATATCTGATAATTTGTTGACATATACTTGTTTTCCAGCTTTCATTTCCCAAATTTTAATTACACCTGTAACATATGAAATTATTTACCTTTTCGAGCCAATAATGTAAAGTATAGAATTTGTTAATAACTATAGAAAATAATCTCTACAAACACTACAAACCTTTATTTCCCGCAGCAGCGACATAAACATGATCATCCAATCTGTCATGAACAGTTGCTGGTAGTTTTACATTTTTAGGTATAATGAAGGCATCTTCTATCTCTTCGTATACTGGTAAAACACGTATAGGCGATTGTGAAGTAATATTCCATAAAATTAGTACTTTATCTCTTCCTGAACTATATGAAATATAGTGTGGTTATAATATACTCGTTTGCAAGCATTACAAGTTATGCAATTTCGTTACATTACCTGACTAAGTAGTCACCATTATCATGAAATGATAGAGATGTAACTTTGCTAAAATGACCAAGGAATGCAATTTCTTGTATGCCAGATAATATATTCCAACCATAAATTTTCAGATCATCGCCAGCAGCAAACAGAAGATTCTTTTGATTATCAGGATGAAAATCTAAAACACTAAAATTATATAAAACAATACAATACCGTTAAAAATATCTTTTTCACCACAAAAGACTTAAGAGAGATTCTGCTATGATAAACTCAGCAAAATTGGTATTCCTTGCTACAAGAAACATATCTAAAAAATTTCAGAAATTCTTTGCATTGTAATTGAGCAGAGATTATACCTGACAACTCCTTGAATTCCTTTTAGATTATGAATACAGGTGTGACGTTGCAAATCCCACAATGTGATAATACCATCAGTGCCTCCCGATGCCATTAAACTGTTTTCGTTACAATAGGCAATACGTGCTACAGGACCCTTGTGGGTTGATTTCCATACCTTCAACACCTTATTATCTGAAATGGCAAACATTTTTTTAATATAAATAATGTCATTGTTTTAATGAAATAAACAACTAATGAAGCATCGTAAAATTTCAAACGAATAATGAGATTACCTTTCCAATCCCAAAATTTAAAGAGACCACTTTTATGATGTGTAATTATGTTTACATCGTTGCTGCTTGTTGTAAATGTATTAATTGGATCTTCTTCTTCACTGTTTCTTTCTTGCAAATGAGATACTACCATTAAACAATCCTGTATGGATACAACAGAAACTGTAGCATGTTTTTGACAGAATATATGTTGTCCATCGGTACTCCACTGTAATATTAAATTAAATAATTATTGTATCGCTGTTCAATTTCAAGCAGATTCGTGCATCAATGTGCATAACGTACCTGAACATTTCCTCCCGTGTAAAATGGTCCATGCTTCGACTCAACAGCAAACCTGTAATTTGAAATTTGTTTACTTTCATATTTTCCAGCTCGATTTTTACTGTATATTTTGGACAAAGAATTTTTAGGATCAATTACTCATTTATATAAACGTGCATGACGTACGTTATCAAGAACATTTGAGAATTATTATTTAGTACGATGAATTAAGAGTGAATATTTTAGACATACAACGGAATGACTTACGCTTCCTTTAAAACGACGTTACTCATTTTTCTATCAATATTCTAAACACATTATGATAAATTTGACAAATATTCGAATCACTTCGGTAACTTCGCTACAATTGTATATTCCTCGCAAGTTATGTTATTCTCACGCACGTGGTCACATCGATCGAGCGCGAGAAGTCGAAGTTCAGGTTAGAATCGAGTCGCGGCGCCACGTGCTTACATTCTAAAGCTAACATTCAGAATTAAATAGCGCCATAGCGAACTTAACAAATTTCGTTTGTTGCTCGTGAAATAACAAAAAGAATAAAGTGTGAAAACGTGACAACAAAGGAAGACGTATTAAAGCATCATAAGGGGCTGCTGCCTTAGTTGACTGTAAAGATGTAACTAGACGAGGGTGAATCGTTTTAACTCTTTCACCTTAATTTTTCTTGTAAACTACACGCTCGAACGAAAATTATTTGCTATAAAGAGAAGCATACACGGCGACAATTAATTTTTTGCTATTTCCCTTTTTTATCAAAATACGGAGGTCGCTATGAGTTTTTGTGAACTATAAACTGTTAAATACAGAATACAGAATGCAGAGCAAAAATAATAAACCTTTGTAGCATCCCATCCCATCCTACCAACAATTTAGTTCCAATTAGATTTATTCTTATTCTGCTTCTTTTTTCGTAGTATTATTATTATAATTACTATCGTACTGATTACAATTTTATTAACCCATTGTTGTCATAAACGCATAAAAAAGTATTCGAAGATCGTTTAAAGCAATATAACTGTTTTAAAGCTATAATTTTCAGTCATTTGAATTTCCCGGAGATGATAACTAACGTGCATTTTTGTAATTTTGCTATTAGCCGTAATGACAAAACAAAGTGAAAAGCCTCGCGTTTTTTTCCAACTTCTTTTTTTTTATCTCTATATATACGGACTGATAATTGTATTGCATTTTACCGTTAAAAAATTGTCAACACGTATACACAAGTTGGATCTAGAAGACGCGTCGTTGAAATATTTGTTTGTTGTGTGGAGAATAGTTCGAGAAAAGGTGTCCGAATAATTTCAGTGGACGACCGTGCGTCGCGGGAATCGCCGAAAGAGATATACGATTAATAATTTCGTTTGCCATGCAGCGATATATTAAAGATGCTAATGCGTGGCCAACTATACCGTGCATTTATTGTTTGCTGTACCATCATGTGTTCCCTATCATATGCAAACGCCTGAATGTAGCATTGTAAACGAATCGCGAGTGGGAGAAATAGCTGGGTAATGTCTGGTTTCCAGTGAATTAGTCCGAGTTTGTTAGTAAAGCAGTGATGATGGAACTTAAAACGTTTTTAAGAAGGAAAGATCATGCCTTCGGAATTCTTGTTTATCTCGTGCACATATTGCACTTGACCTCGTCCACCATGTAAGTTACGAATGCGTTGTTCTCATTTGTAAATCTACTCGCGATCTACAACAATATATTAACGCTTTTCTAACGCCACGATTTTTCATTCACTATAACCATACAATATGGTAATCGCGGCGTCGTCCTGGCATTAAATCAACAGCATCAATAGCGTTTAGGATAGTTCATTTTATAGCTTGTCAATTGCTGCGACGGCGACGATCGATTGATTTGAAGACTATTCCATTCGACTTTATTCTATTTTATTATCGACGAAATCGAAATTTTAATTTTAATGTTATTTTTCAAATATATGCGCGTTGCTTCGTTCGTTTCGCATCGTCGAATTTCCGTTTGATTCACGATTATTATTCGAACGCGATTCATCGAGAAAAACGACTTGGCATAAGCTAATGAATGAAGAAAAAAAAACAGCGTATGTACGCGCGTTAAATCCGTGAAAATTCGAAGACGCGCCAATTTGTTGTTGCGAGTGTAAACGAAAACGAGTGCCACAGAAAGCTGTGCGGTACCGCAGAAAAATAAAAGAAAACTCTCTGTTTTCAGTTGCGATGATGCACGATTCTAAGAAAGATAACTTACACAAACATTTGCATGTTTGATCCTATAAATTAAATGTGTTTAGGTAGATAAGACGAAAGTGGTTGGAATTAGTAGCAGAGCCTCCTTCCTATGGATTTCGAACGGACTTTGTTTTTCTATTCGGAAGTCTCACATTCTGGAATTTCTGATCCCATAGACATGGGAATCAGTCTGATCCCCATGTTGCGCCATTCTTTCGCGAAAGTAAAGCAAACGTAAATTAAAGGCTCGAAGAGATATTGTTTCCGGCAATTAACGGATATTCTCGTTTCATTCGGCTCTGCGGAGCGTTCCTAAGTGTTGTGTGGAGCACATCAACAAAATCTGTTGAGCACAAAATAGATGGTTAAAATGATGAATCGTTAAATATGATATTTTAGAGATGACAAAGTTTCTTTTTATTGTTTCAACAAATTTTTACCGTATCGCTTCTCTATTATTTTCTCAACCTTTTCGCTTCACCTCGTCGACTTTACCACTTATTTTCTGTTCTATTGTATCTTTTTATCGCATTACTTATTTTCTATTTATCTTATTGTATTTTTTTATCGCATCACTTATTTCCTATCTTATTGTATTTAGTTTATCGCATCGCTTATTTCCTTCTCCCTGTTGTTGTGCTATTCGCGCGGCACACAAATTATTATTGCAAATTCCGTCGAAGAAGAATCGCGCGACACATTTCCAACGTCCCGCAATCGAAGGCTCTCCGCGGCTGCAGACGGAGTACATATACTTTTTGGACAAATAGCGGCCTCTTTAATCTGCGGAACAAAGTTTTCTCAAAGCGAGATTAAATCGTTTATAGCGCAGGTCTTACGAGACACTGCTACCTGGAACAACAATGTACAGGGTGGCGCAATAAGAGTCGGCAATCGGATACAGCGAAACCGCCGTATCCGCGGGGGGGTTGATTCTAAGAATTTCCGGGGATGAACCCTATATATATATGTGTATGCTATTATTATATAGCATTGCTATGCACATATATATGTCTATACAGAAGTTAAAATAGAACACAATATAAAGAGTTTAATAGTCAACAAATATATAATGAAAGATATTTGAAATAAAATAAAGAATAGAAATTAAAAATAAAATATAACAATCATCATATATTACGTCGTTAGTTGAACTATACTGAAATACTTCTGTCAATATATATATATAGTTTCATCATAGTTTTCTCAACCATTCGTTTCGTTTCTTTTCTTCCGTCAGTACACACTTCTTTCACTTTTGTATCGATATTTTCGATCTTGTGCAGCGTTTCGTTTCATTCTTATCCGTTGTATTTCACTTTGCCAATTTCATTCTCTTCGCTCGAACAATCAGAGAATAAGTAAAAATAGCGCGAAGCACGAAGGAGTACTGTGTATAACAATTTGATCTCCGCCACTTTTATATGTATACCGCATTAACGGAATTGTCGCCGAACTTTCGTCAGTTTCGACGGGTTTTTGACATGCAAATACGTATATTAGCTTCCGTAAAAAATGGCTTTCCAAGAAGCGACTAATTATGCCCGTGTCGTGCCTCGTCGCGGGACACAACGTTACTACTCCGGACTCGCGAGCGTGTGCAATACGTGCAGATGTATAAATATATGTATATAATTGTGGATGCGCATATAAAACACCTGTACAGACACGCGTATCACAAAAATGTAGAATAATATTTTTCTCATTCGCGGTCGCGAGGAGGAAAATTAGGTTGAACAAATACACGGCGATACTTGTCGAATAGGAATCGAGTGGCGCGTCTGACCATCAAGCAGCGATTCTACTTTCGTAGCAATTCGAATCGGGAACTACTCTACTGTGGTTGGTGTATGCATGAATTATGCTGAACGCTCGCGTGTGTCAGCTGGCACAATGTACGTACCCGTATTCTCGGCGTGAAACAACGTGTATAAATCATCGGGGTTGCTGCGGAACTAATTTGAGAGTCCTTGTCGATAGTTAATCACGTTGCGACAGACACCGTGTCCGAGGAAAATTGATTTAACGAAAAATTATCGGTAGATTATAACAAACGAGCACCACGAGGCTTTCAAATATTTATTTTATATTGCAGCTATTTAAATGAACGCGAACACCATTTTGTTTCGAGCTCGGAAGTCATTTGTATTTCCATGAAAATTTTCAACAACACTGCGGAAACGCGTATGTGTGTGTGTGTGTGTGTCGGGGATGCAAAGTTGGACGGAACGACGGACGGCGCTCGCGATTAAAAATAATTAATGGTGTGCGACGGTTTTTCCATGTTTATCGGTGGAGATCGTGTGCTGAAAAATTAGCTTTCGCATTGCGAGGAGTCACGTGCGTTGCATCATGTCATGCGCATAGTTATACATAGATACAAAACAACAATGAACTCTGCGCGATGTGACGGCTGGAATTGAAATTCAAGGCTCTTCTTTCGAAAGAACTTCTTCCTTTATCTTTGTACATGCCGGCACGTGATACGCTTGTTTGCTACACTTTCCCGCGCGTAGATTTTTTTTTTACCTTTTCGTTTCCTGGAAATGTAACGGAGACACCGGAGTCTTGGAAACCCGACCGAGAGGAGAGGAGGATACCTTCAGAGTTCGAACGATGTGATTTTTCGTTTTTTTTCGATAGATTGGACAGTTGCCCGAAGTTGAGCAACGATCATTCTATGACACAAATGGAGCTTATACAAGAGCTGACGAACACTTGCCGTTACGATAAAATGGCCAGGCCGCGCGGTGAAATTAATGCCACGGACCCGGTTAAAGTCTACGTCAGAGCTTACATCTATACGATCAAGTCGAACATGGCTAAAACATTGGTAATTCGCGCAATAATTGATTGTAATTTACAACTGGCGCATTTACTCTTCAAAGTGGTAGAGGCTCGGCTCAAAACTAACTATTTCTCTATCAAAATCTTACATGGCCGTCTGATATTATTGTTTCACCGATTTATGTTATCTATTATATCTATTATATATTAATATAGTATCTTGTTAAAATAGCAGAATAGCAAAATAGTAGAATAGCAAAATAGTAGAATAGCAAAATAGTAGAATAGCAAATTAGTAGCATAGCAAATTAATAGAATAGTAAAATAGTAGAATAGTAGAATAGCAAAATAGTAGAATAGCAAAATAGCAAAATAGTAGAGTAGCAAAATAGTAGAATAGCAAAATAGTAGAATAGCAAAATAGCAAAATAGTAGAGTAGCAAAATAGTAGAATAGCAAAATAGTAGAATAGCAAAATAGCAAAATAGTAGAGTAGCAAAATAGTAGAATAGCAAAATAGTAGAATAGCAAAATAGCAAAATAGTAGAGTAGCAAAATAGTAGAATAGCAAAATAGTAGAATAGCAAAATAGCAAAATAGTAGAGTAGCAAAATAGTAGAATAGCAAAATAGTAGAATAGCAAAATAGCAAAATAGTAGAGTAGCAAAATAGTAGAATAGCAAAATAGTAGAATAGCAAAATAGCAAAATAGTAGAGTAGCAAAATAGTAGAATAGCAAAATAGTAGAATAGCAAAATAGCAAAATAGTAGAGTAGCAAAATAGTAGAATAGCAAAATAGTAGAATAGCAAAATAGCAAAATAGTAGAGTAGCAAAATAGTAGAATAGCAAAATAGTAGAATAGCAAAATAGCAAAATAGTAGAGTAGCAAAATAGTAGAATAGCAAAATAGTAGAATAGCAAAATAGCAAAATAGTAGAGTAGCAAAATAGTAGAATAGCAAAATAGTAGAATAGCAAAATAGCAAAATAGTAGAGTAGCAAAATAGTAGAATAGCAAAATAGTAGAATAGCAAAATAGCAAAATAGTAGAGTAGCAAAATAGTAGAATAGCAAAATAGTAGAATAGCAAAATAGCAAAATAGTAGAGTAGCAAAATAGTAGAATAGCAAAATAGTAGAATAGCAAAATAGCAAAATAGTAGAGTAGCAAAATAGTAGAATAGCAAAATAGTAGAATAGCAAAATAGCAAAATAGTAGAGTAGCAAAATAGTAGAATAGCAAAATAGTAGAATAGCAAAATAGCAAAATAGTAGAGTAGCAAAATAGTAGAATAGCAAAATAGTAGAATAGCAAAATAGCAAAATAGTAGAGTAGCAAAATAGTAGAATAGCAAAATAGTAGAATAGCAAAATAGCAAAATAGTAGAGTAGCAAAATAGTAGAATAGCAAAATAGTAGAATAGCAAAATAGCAAAATAGTAGAGTAGCAAAATAGTAGAATAGCAAAATAGTAGAATAGCAAAATAGCAAAATAGTAGAGTAGCAAAATAGTAGAATAGCAAAATAGTAGAATAGCAAAATAGCAAAATAGTAGAGTAGCAAAATAGTAGAATAGCAAAATAGTAGAATAGCAAAATAGCAAAATAGTAGAGTAGCAAAATAGTAGAATAGCAAAATAGTAGAATAGCAAAATAGCAAAATAGTAGAGTAGCAAAATAGTAGAATAGCAAAATAGTAGAATAGCAAAATAGCAAAATAGTAGAGTAGCAAAATAGTAGAATAGCAAAATAGTAGAATAGCAAAATAGCAAAATAGTAGAGTAGCAAAATAGTAGAATAGCAAAATAGTAGAATAGCAAAATAGCAAAATAGTAGAGTAGCAAAATAGTAGAATAGCAAAATAGTAGAATAGCAAAATAGCAAAATAGTAGAGTAGCAAAATAGTAGAATAGCAAAATAGTAGAATAGCAAAATAGCAAAATAGTAGAGTAGCAAAATAGTAGAATAGCAAAATAGTAGAATAGCAAAATAGCAAAATAGTAGAGTAGCAAAATAGTAGAATAGCAAAATAGTAGAATAGCAAAATAGCAAAATAGTAGAGTAGCAAAATAGTAGAATAGCAAAATAGTAGAATAGCAAAATAGCAAAATAGTAGAGTAGCAAAATAGTAGAATAGCAAAATAGTAGAATAGCAAAATAGCAAAATAGTAGAGTAGCAAAATAGTAGAATAGCAAAATAGTAGAATAGCAAAATAGCAAAATAGTAGAGTAGCAAAATAGTAGAATAGCAAAATAGTAGAATAGCAAAATAGCAAAATAGTAGAGTAGCAAAATAGTAGAATAGCAAAATAGTAGAATAGCAAAATAGCAAAATAGTAGAGTAGCAAAATAGTAGAATAGCAAAATAGTAGAATAGCAAATTAGTAGAATAGCAAAACAGCAAAATAGCAAATTAGTAGAATAGCAAAACAGCAAAATAGCAAAATAGTAAAATAGAAAAGTAGAAAAACAGCAAAATAGGTTTATCTGGACTTGTGTTAATAATGAATAAAAATGAAACGGTTATGGTAGATTTCGAATGATCCAGAACGTTGCTTTTGACTCCGAGCCTGCCCTACACGTAATTTAGTATGTCTAACAGGTTCTCTGTTCCATACGCACGTGAAACACTGTGATTACAGCAATTTGACGTTCACATGATACTGCAATACAGATACTTGGACAATAGGTTAAAATTCGCAGATATTGCTCCTCACTTGAACCAAATATACGGCGGGCACCACGTGCACGATTTGATATGGACTCCAGCCGTCTATGTTTCCAACGAACGAAGTTCAGCCCTGGTAGGGAACAACGTTAAAGATCTACTCGTTTCTGTAGATCCAATGGGAGTCGTTACTTTAAACACCAGGTTTGTGAGAAGCAACGAAAAACAAGTGTCCTAATTTTTAAATATACACAATATTTTATTTAGACTTTCTTCTCAATTTTATTATACAAATATAATATATACTTGCTTCTCTTTTGCTTCGCATAATTTTTAAAGATATGTAATGATACCTAATGTTAATTTACAGAATTATTGTTATTATTATTAATCGACCAGGTTTTCATTTCGTTTGTTATTATCGTCAATATACTATATTTATTGTTGAAAGTTTCTCGTTTATCACGTTGATCGATGATCTCTCACTATAGCGAGATAATAAATTCTTACTAACAATTACGTACGTACGTGTTCCAGGTTACAAGTTACACTGAATTGTGGTCTCAGGTTGGAAAAATTTCCGTTCGATGTCCAGGAATGTCCGCTGATCTTCGAAAGCTGTAGGATGTCATTGTTGTTGTTGTACCGCTACCACAATGTCGGCTATTTTATTCTAGCTCTCGCAGTGTTCCTACGAATGAATGGAATTTTTCCCTACAGGGACGTACAACGTGAAGGACATGATGCTGATTTGGGATCAGGATCCGATAATACTAGCGGACGAGTTACATTTGACCGAATACAAACTTGTCGACAAGTGGGTGAATATGTCGGAAGTGCTCTACACCACTGCGCAACAGCATTACGGTCATTTTGGTATGTATCTTTTCGTTTCGACTTTATTTCACTTGCTTCATTTTTATTTATTTATTTATTTACTTATCAACGGGGCCAAAAGAGCAACCCTTCGATGATATTATAAAATTGATTTCTAAATTAGAATAAGTTAGAAATATAATAATAATATAATAATATATAATATAATATAATATATATAATAATAATATAATAATATATAATATAATATAATATAATAATAAATAGATAGATAGATAGATAGATAATAGATAAATAATAATAGAAACATATAATAAACATTTTACAGCTGGCAACTTTAGCACGATTAATATCACGTTCAAGCTCGCGCGTGAAATGGGTTTCTTTATGATGGACTATTACATACCATCCATATTGATAGTCGTGATTTCTTGGGTATCCTTTTGGTTGCACATGGATGCGAGTCCGCCACGAATAGTTTTAGGTAACGCGTGATATTTATTATCATTATCATTATTATTCATATTATTATTTACAATGGCCATTTTCATATCTTCAGGAACAAACACCATTTTGACGTTTATGACACTGGCGTCGAAACTAGAAAATTCGTTGCCGAAGGTCTCCTACATAAAAGCCAGTGAAGTATGGTTTCTGGGATGCACGATATTTTTGTTCGCAGCAATGGTCGAATTCGCATTCGTCAATACGATCTACAGACGGAAGTAGGATACGCTTTACATACGATTATTATTGTAATTCGATCGTTGACATCTATTTTTTTCCTGCAGGAAAAATGTGCCGCTGAAGAAGGTGAACAGCAAATATATTCTGAAGTCAACGTTGACCCCGAAATTGGCACGCAAACAGTTCCAAAAGAACACAACTGGACTGGAACGATCACGATCATGGTCGTCGCTCGACAACGCTACCAGCACCACCGATCAAGATTACACGAGCCAAAATTACCTCACTGTACACGTCAGTTTAATACGAGAAGGAAGCAGCGTCGCTTCCAACGTAGATGTTGTTTCGAATTTTCATCAAGTAAAAAGTGCCCATATTAAAAACGCTGTTTTTCAGAGTTTCCCGAGTACGCTGAACATACCGTCTGTGAAGATCGACGAAGACAAGGATCAAGAATGCACCGTCGGGAGCATCGTGACCGTGAACAATACCTCGCCACCGAAACCTTTTTCGAGAAGGGCAACTCTGGCCCAGTTGCATAACTTCACGACGATGACCCCGCAAGAAATTGCTCAATGGATCGACAGACGTAGCAGAATTGTATTCCCAGTTGCTTTTATTATATTCAATATTTTTTACTGGTCCTTTATCTGGATATAAGTATTAACGTAAACGCGACTATTATTGTCGTTTACCGCGTGCTTTCTGCATTATCAGCAGAAAGTATGAACCTCTCTTGCCTTCAAACATAGTCAAGCATTTGTCAAAAATCACTATCACGTCTCGTAGATATCATGAGAGTTTTCCTCTGCTTGTAGAGTATTATATAAATTGTAACAATACTCCCTCATAGTACTAACGTGCCACTTTGAAAATAAAAAGCCATGGAATGCAATTGTAAAGCACGGCGAAACATCGCTGGTCTGCGCATCTCATTTTTATTTTGATAACAGCTAGAGGTTAATACGGAGTCTCGTGAAACTGCGAATACAATTGTTTACCAACAATTGTCGTTTCTTATAGTTCTAATTATTTATAATTTCGTTAATGTAATATTATTATTATCGCTAGGTATGCATGTGCATCGCATCAAACTAATTACTAAATAGGCAGATATATCAAAGATTATAGAAAAAAAAATAAGACGATCTTTGGGGGTTGGAAGATGTGCCAAGTAAGCGTGGCTTTTAGTTTGACGAGAAGTGGAATTAATATGTCATGGCCAGACGCGCCACATTATTCCTATACAATAGTATTATTTTTTTCAATGTAATTTTTCTCGAGAAAAGCCTTAATTTTATACATATATAATAATAATATTATTAATAACAATAATAATAATAATACAAAAATCGAAAAATTAGTTTGCAATAGCACTCTTTTATTTCCATAAATTACATAAATATATTTATTTGAAAATAATTTGTGATAAATAAAATTCGCAATAAATACCTTTTCCATACATATGTTCGCATCAAAAGTTTCTTAAACTGTAAAAATATTTCTTTAAATATCGCTCAATTAAGTATGCGAGTACAAAGTTTTGTATGTATTTAGTATATTGGTACTTAAGTGTAGTATAGTAACGCTTGTTACCATATGGAATGTATTATTTTGTACGGCAGCTATTTTCGACTTAACTGATAAAAAGGCGCAGCAACTACATATGTTATTCCAATAATTATGAAAGTAACAGAAAACAACGTTTCTTGTCCGTGCGATATAAGCTTTGGCGCTTACGTTTCGTGCAATCTCTAAAAAATCTTAGACCTGAAGAGCACCAAAACAGTAAAAAGTATATACTGTTATATTCTATCATTGTATGCCTCAATTTTCTTAGTATATGTACATACAATACACTAAATCCTTTTTGTACATATCGATATATCGAATCGTCATTCGCTATCGTTGCAAAAAGAACGCATTTTTTAACGTAAGATTATTGAACACTGAATATAACGAAATATTTACAATTTATTTCAAAGTATATTCAACCTTCAATCAACTTACTTCATATATTTAATTTGGTTACGCCGCAACGAACAAATTGTAGCGTAAAATGATATAGTTTGTTGAACCCTGCAGAATTTTACATTTTTACAATTTTTTAATATTCCGATACAATCGAATTTAGAATCGTGTTTCAACTTGTTTTTTTGAAACCAGACTGTAACCAGACGCAATTCCTTGAATCACATTTGTGTTTAGGATGTTTTAGAAAGTATTACAGAAACGTGTGTTCACGCAGTACGAAATTCAAACTACAGTATCGATTGGAATGATCTTTTGTTATAGGTATGTATCTTATACCTACATCAAATTTCATACATTGGTAAATAATTGAATGAATTTGTTACAGAAATTAAGATGTTTCTGTTCGACGAGGGTGAATCAATATTCTGATCCATGATACACATCGTTTCAGGTACATATCTTCAAATGCCATGGATAATTATTTACGATTGTAAATGGTCATCTTGAAAAGATCTAAAAATTTTTCACAATTTTTCCCTATACAATATCTTATACAAAATTAAGCGATTAAAAATAATATAACTGTAAATATAACATGACTCCATTTATCTGAACCAAATATTACTGAACATTTAATAATAAGCTGTGATTTTTTTAACAGCGCAAAAGGTGTACGATAAAAATAGAATTTATTCAAGTGAAATTCATAGATCATTTTCGATATATTTATATATCAAATGTCAATAGATTTGTGGTTGGAAAGAACAAATCTTGAGAATTAGCTTTTCGTAGCAGTTAGTTAAAGTGATCCCTTTGGAGACCTATACATACGTACATAGTTATGTAAAATATAAAATGGCACACATTTATTGTTCTACTAAACCGATATTTATAGGTTTCGAGGGATCGTTGCAATCCGTATTGCATTGTTTACAAACTCAGCTTCTGACATATTAAATTGTGAATTTTGTTTACCAAAAAGGAAAGTAACGTCTAATCAGATTTTAAATTGAGATAAATGGAGTATATATTGTTCCCAAAGTGAACAAAAGCAATATAATGCTGACAGCCAGCCTGTGTTTGTAATGAAGGATTTTCGCAATCCACTATTATGGCTATCTCAGCAAATTACTAGTTCTGTAAATGTTTCACTCAAGGCTATAACTTGTCATTTGTTTAGTGCAGTTAAAAATTTTGCATTTTTTAAATTCGCTTATAATGCAACCTAAAGAACTAACAATAAGGGTTAGCCAATAAAAGTTTTACTAGAGCCGGAGCAAGATTCGAATCTTGGATGATTCATATTTTTTTCTTATCAACTATAGGTCCTTAACCACGTAATTATAAGATGACACAATTCGAACTGTGTGGCACCTGGTTTTTCAAATGTTTGAGAGCATTTCAATACTTCCACATAACTTGGCATATAAAAATATTTTGTGCTTCTCAGAAAATAATTCAAGTTTAGGCTGTTGAATTTTGAACTGGATAAAATCCAAAATTAGACCTCAGTTGTTCCAAAAAGACAAAAGTGAGAATAGTGTGCGGAGCTAATCTGATAAACGCAGGTACATAGCCCTAGAATAAGAAATATTAATCATATTTTGAACAATACAAATTCAGACTAATGGACGCACGATTACAAATGAAAAGATCACAGTTTGCATTCTTAATCTTAATCTTAAAATCCTAGTCTCGCAATACCACTTTAGGGTAATTCGAGAAATAATGCTAGGAATGGCTAATAAAATTGCTGTAATTTCCTGTCCCGTGAGATTAGTAGTAAATTGTTTATTGGCTTTGTTCAGGCTTTCTAGGATTTGTGATAGGGATCATCAATAAAGCCGGGTACTTGGAACTGAAAGAACCTGAAAGCGGGGAACACGGGACGATAAGATTAACAAGTAAAAAACAAACTGTTGTCAGGCGGTGGCTGGTGGTCGATGATTACAATAATATATGGATTCTTCTGATTATTAGTTGACACGCAGGAATGTTTATGAGCGAGTGGCGAGTAAAACTTGAGAATTGCGTAACGGCTTGACGCACCACGTTGCATTCCCTAAGCCTTAAAACCTAAAACATGTGGATATTTTCTGGTTCTTAGCAAGTCCAGCAACAAAGTCGAGAAGACGAGAATCCAATAACGAAACTACAATTATTCCATCTGATCGCTATTCGTAAGAACAAACAAACTTCATCTCGTGTGGAGACTATGTTATTTATAGTTTCTATCTATAGTAAAGAACAACTAGAGTAGCAATCTTGAAGCATGTGTGGCAGAAGCGGTATTAAATCATTTTATTTAGAATATTACTAACTATTCAAATTGCTACTGCTTCGTCAGACCATAGTTCCTCTAAATTGAAAGTAATAAACACTAATCTATGTACTACTATCTATAATGACTGAAAAAAGTTTATCTAATTTGAAGTTATTATCTACTGAATGTAAATTGTGTAAATTTAAATTACGAATATGTAAAGATAAAAATATACACTTAGGACGATATTGGTTCATGCACGTTTCTGCAGCATAAGTTTTGGACATAACTAAAAAAAACACATGTTTTTGACTTGTGTCACTTTTGAAGCAAATGTGCGATATATTGTGAGAGGAAATGAAAGAGTGAGGAAGTTAGAGTAAAAGTCTTATAGACAAGTATCAAATATGACAGAGAAGACGGGACACTCCAACAAGAAGCTAATGAAAGAATGTGTAGGGGAAATTGAAAGAGAGAGGGAGAAAGGAGAGGAAAAAGAAAGGCAAAGATGAGGAATAAAATGAGAACAGATAGAGAGGAAATGAAGAAGTATACGAAGCAGGAAGGAGGGAAGAGTTTTTACATATCATATATGCATAGTTCTATGATTTGGCAACGTAGAAACAGTAAAAATTATCGGGAAAAAGAAGCAATGTGTACAGACCAGAAATATTTTCTGAAATAAAACAAAAGAAACTACACTTTAATCAGAACTAAGAAGTAATCTTTTAAAGATGAGTCTGATGTGAAAATTTCATGCAATAGACGACGATCGTCGTTGTATGTACGTAACTGTTCGAAACGAAAGGAAACTAATAGAATATGAGAAGATGGATCACCGGATCACATGTTCAAATAGATATGCACGTGAGTACGTGCTTATGTAAAGAACTGAATTTAAGATAAAGTTTGAATAACTAATCTTGAATATTCGAGATCATTTTGCTATCCAACAAGTATGAGCTAACACCGTGATATTGTACTGTCGTTTCACAACATCAGTAGATATTCTCGACAAAATTTCGTCATAAAGCACGCAAGTTCCACTACAAAAATAGTGGCTTTATTGAAATCATGAAGAAATATTTAAACGAATTTTGTTTTAAAATCGTACGATAATCATATATCATAGTAAACTAGATACATTTTGTAAATTATCCAGACCATTAATACAACATTAAAGACTACATACTTGTTAACTCTTGGACTTCTTTTATTAATTGATTTTACATTTGACAAATTTTGACAAAAATATGTTTGTCTAAACTATGATCTTTTCATATTGTCTAGTATACATTTGAATACAAATTTCTGGAAAATATATCAAAATAAAACTAAAGAATTCATATACCGAGATATGTTGATAAGAATCTTTAAAAGCATTCTACTAAATATAAATGTATTATTGTCTTTTTTATGCTTTTATAATTTTTCTTGGTTAAATGAACACTGTTGATAAATCTGGGTGTGTAATAATATAAAGAGTCTATTTCAATGTAGCTTTCATTGTAGACATTCCTATTTATAGCTTCTACAGGTTAATGCACTAAGTATATCTACATAAACTGTCAGAACAATTCTATATAGTTTTCGGAATTGGAGCTTCCAAATGTATACTGATTTACTGAAATTAAAATTTAGTAGAACATGAATAAAAATAATAAGTGAACTTACTTTGAAGAATGCCGTTGGTCCAAGCTTCGCAGTGTATAAAAATAATTCTGCAAGGTTCTGTAAAAGAGTTATATAATTTAGCATTTTTTAATTTCTATACATAAATTAAACATTACCTTAAATTCTCCTGGTTTAGCATTCATTGCACGAGTTTTCAATACATCTAATGGCTGTGTGAGAGTTGTAGCTATAGCACCCTTAAATTTGAACAAATATTTGGTTAGTACATAGTAATTTAAAATGAACATGATGCCTTGAAACAAAGCATGTACTTGACTAGTCATTAGATTTTCTTGTAACTGTAATATGTTATTAATATTATAGAAAAACATAGCATATATAGGTTATAGAAATTAAATAAAATGTTACATTGATGTGATAGAACTTTGAACATGTTTTCTATCTCATGTTTTTAATAGTTTCTTTTGCATCAATAATTATCTGACAACTTATTATTTACATATACTTACAGCACATACACTCGACAACACATGTGTAAGAGGATTATCTACAAAATGACCACTTTGCAACATTATAATTTTTATTTGATCATAGAAACTCAGTTGTCCAATAGTCATTAATGCAGCCCTTAATGTTGCAGTGGAACAGCCACTAAATATTTTAGATACACCTTCTTGTCGAATTATGCACACCACTCCGTCTAAAGCATGCTTGTAACTGAAATAATATTAAATATTACCTAATAAATCAAAAATATAGTCCACAGTATTTTGTATATTCTTACTTTCTTCTTAATTCTGGTGATAGTTTTATATCATTCTGCATGCGTACATTAACCACATCTCCTGGTGTTCCAAGAACACCTCCGATCATACCAGAAAAACCAGCCAGTAGTAATTTTTCATGAAATAGCATAGGTTTATTGGGAGTTTCAAACGTTTGTTTACCTACCTATATTCAAGAGATCAATAAAATAAATTTTCTTGAATTACTTGAACATAAAATTAGATGTGACGTAAATAAATTTACTTCGTATGCTCCGAATCTGGCGGTAGAATATGTAAGTTGTCGAAGCAAAGAAGCACTAAGGCCATTGTATAAAGCCAAAATTCCTTGTTTCTGTATTATATTGGTAGTTAATCGTACTACAGATATTTTGCCTTCCTGCTGTGTTTGTAAATGCACCTGCAATGATATATTTTTATAACATATTTAAAACTATTACATATTTTTAGAATATATTACAAATATTATTAGAATAGAATTAAATACTAATTTTTATGTAATATCAATTAACATAAATTTAATAACAAAGTACCTTCAATAAATCCAAGGGATGTGTAACACAAGCAGCACCTGCAGACGAAAGCCCACCAAAATACCAACGTGATAATTTTTTTGTTTTGTCTGCCATTGTTTCATGTTCTGTATCTTTAGAATAAAATGAGAAAAATATGTCCAGTAACTATACATATACAGATAAAATATATGTATAACTTAAATATACTAGTATATGTAAAGTAAATAATTATTCAACTTACCTGTTTTCTTAAATATATTAATTATAAATAACAATTAATTCATTGTCTGTTAAAAAATAATAAATGTGATTGTAATCTAACAGTGAAGTCCTTGCTTTCATTATAATACTATATGTATGTACATATTAAATATATATATATATATATGATGTATAAGTGTATGAGTAATATTATGTAAGTACTCTTCACTGACTTTAATAAATTGTTAATTAAATGGAATATTTAAGTCACGCGGAAATCATGTGATAAAGTTTCATTTGAGAGACCTATTTTATTAATGTTTAAATGAAGAAAATAATTGAGTTACCAGTAAAACATGATGATAGATCAAATTTTATAGGAAATAATGGAAAATACAAAGTATTGAAAAACGTTCTAATCTAATCGGAACAAATATATCGAAAGGAATAAAACTTACGATATTGCACGGTCACGATACAATACACGACACATTTAAATTATTGTCGGTCAGTTAACACATTTGAAAAAGTTTCATCTCTATCTGACGAAACATACTACATCATTTAACTGAGTCTGGAAACCACGAAGGCGCACGCATCAGCTGATAGCCACGTGTAATATCACCTCTTTTTGTCGAGGCTAAAAATCACTATTGACACACTTGAATTTGCAAATGATTGTATTTATTCGAGAATTATTTACAAGTCCGCATTGTTACAGTTTCGGGTCATTTCGAAGGGTTTAAGATGACGACGATGGATGCCAGTTTTTGGTGTGCTAATAATTTGGTGTAATAATAACGCGTTATCGATGAATACATTCAAAATGAGTGTGTTCGATCTGTATGTATTGTATCTCGTAAAATCTGCCCGTCTGACGTCGACTTTTCTATTCCGAGAATTTTCGCAGTACAGTTTAACGATTTTCGTAATACATTTATATAAGATCCAAATAATACATAACATATACATATGGTATGTATTTACGAAAATTATCATTAAAATAATGTTGACGCATATTATCTTATAAGGATAGCATGACATTTCCCGGGCGAAAAGACCACAGCTATCTAACAGATTACATCGATATTCATTACACGTATTGTGGATGTAAATGGATTTTAACAATTTCTAAAATGAAATATTTAATGTTACCGTATCTCAGTAGTTTATAATCGTTGTTATCTACGTTTACATGAATCGTTTGCAAAGCTCCCAGTTTCGTATGGGACATAACAAATCTGCAAGATTATAATAAAAGAACGTTCATTTGAAAATTTTCATAAATTACAAAAACTTTACTTCATCGAAATTCTATAAGGATTTTTCATGTAAATAATGAAATCTACATATACCAGATCATTCATTTATTTTATACGAATAGCTTTTTTACACGATCCCATTTTACATGCAACTCCTTGGCGTATACATATGTATGTACATACATGTGTGTGTATAATTCTGTACACAACAATCATAACCTAATTTTCTATTCACACACTCTTCTTTATGAATTTAAACGCTTATTACATTATCACCTGTACTATTTAACGGCATCCGTTCATCGATGCGTAACAATGTAATCGACGTACAAAAAATCAAATTCTTGTTGCAAGTAGTCTAATGAAATAATTCGAAAAACTTGCAATAGCAAATGAATAGGAAAATCTTCTTTTTCTGAGAAATACAAAATTGTACGAACTTTTCGTATGCAGTGGATGTGGTAAATAATAATTGGAGTTTACTTATCTTTTGTTTACTGCTTCTAAAGGAAACGTCTAAAATTGATGCCACATCAGCTGACTTAACGAAGACGTCTCTCCTATGCTTATGCACGACATCACACAATCACAATCACACGCACCTATGTATTCTAGACAAATATGTAACGTCGTCTTCCTTGAAAGATCACTCACGCAATCTGTATAACAGATATATGTATGCATTTCACATATATCTACACGGGCATGGCAACATTTAAGGAACAACAGAGTATTCCAAAAATATGTAGAACAATCTGAAAACATTCATACCGCTACACAAATTAGTTCAAGTCTCATTTACGAGATTAGTAACAATTTAAAATTGGAAGTTCCACTTTTGTTCCACCGCGCTAATTTCGCTGCAGTCAGCTGACTGTTTAGGTCACACGTACTATGCGCACACATAGCAACAAAGGCAGAGGCCGACAACAGCTGTCTCATTCCTGGGCAATCTGCCATGACTTCCCACAGCTTTTCAAATATTTCTTCCTTTCGATTTCAATTGTAATATTGATTTTTAAATATTTTTTGGAAATCGTTTACATCAACGATGCCTCACCGGTTTGGTGCGAGACATATACATTTGTGCATCAAGGTTTATCATTAGTCCAAGTAGACAGTAAAAGCAGCATTGGTAATAGAATATTATTTTGATTTATTGGTACATGATGGAAAATATGAAATTAAAGATTTCTCGTGTTTCCCGTATTTCTTCGTCGAGGTCGCCGTAATCTCAGTACTGTAAAGTTAAATCATTCGACGACGTTCCCGACGCTGGGTTTTCGCAGAACTTCAACGATCGACGCTGGTAGTCCTCTTCGTCACAAAAGACCTGCTGCAATCTAGTCCGCACTATCAACTTCCTATCTTCTTGAACTTTTCTCAGATAGGGCAACAAACTTAGTAAAAAGTGATAGTCGGCATCGTCGATGTGATTTTGCGGATTCGATTGGCACGCAGATTTTAACTCTATGAATTGTTTCTGTTCGGTGTCCAGCAGTTTCTCGTAGCTATTGTATTTCTCGGATTTCTGCCGCTTTTTAACAGACATCTCGGCATTGTGTGCTCGACGTTTTCTCGATTGCGACACTTCGATTTCACATTCTTTAATGTCGTATTCGGTTGCGTCGCTTGCTAACAGATTTTCCGATCTGTCTTCGCTTTCCTCGGTATGCGTCGTTTGCCATGGATTCTCATTCAGTTCTACTTCAAGGATATTATCGCTAAATTTCCGAGGCGTGAATTGATCCTTCAGAAACAACATGCTGGAGAAATGCGGCCAGGATGATCTTACTGGCGTTCCTCCTTCGTCGCTTGAACGTCTTTTTGGGATCTTTTTTAATTCCCTCCGAAACGTGTCGCGTAAACCTCTCCATCGAGTTTTAACCGCTTCAACTAAAACAATAATAATAGATATCATTCGACGAAGTCATCGGATTTCTTTCGTAGCTAGAAATTTGTAATTTTTCAACTTGAATATGTAAAGAACGAGTCTGCCCTCAGATTTTAACGAGACTTGTTTTAATCATTTTGTTTTAACGGAAATAAAAGCTATATATGATATAATATAATAAATATTTTTTTAATAAATTGTATTCTGCAATATGGATACATAGGTAGTGTTGATACCGGCCATTATACTGCAAACGACATCTATTAGAAATTGGTGGCATTTCTTAGTCAACCTTCGGCAGTGTCCATTAGTGTTGAGTTTAAGTACATCTGAGTTTTCTATCTAATAAATTGATTCACGAAAAAAAACCAGTATGTATGAAAGGGCTCGAGGTAAACAGGTATCTTCCATTTTCAAACAAATTTTGTTCGAACTTACACGGTTTCGTTTAACAAAGTATTGGTTTCTGTGAAAGTTTTACGAAAAGAACTGTATCACCACTTTAGTATTTTTTCAAAATGTATTCTCATGGAATAGATATTTTAGAAATTTGTACATTCAAAGTTCTGTGGAATAAAATTTGATTTGAGAACGTTTGTTACAAAGTCCCTGTAAACTAAATAAAACACCGAATTATTGTATTGTTAAATTTCTTTAACAATATCGTGTAATGTTATTTACAAATTAAAAAGAAACGGTATGAAAATCATAACATAAGTTAAAGTTACAACTACAGAAATTATTTCCATAATCGTTCAGTATTAAGTAAACGTTGATGTTATTAAGTAATATCTGTTATAACGTTTGAAAATATTTTTTATATTACTTAACAAAATATCTGTTCCTATTGTAGAAAAATTTGTATTTTTCAATCTCGTTAATTCTATCCGAACCAAAATTTTCAAATTCCAAGAATTCTTTTTTATATTATTATTAGACTTCTTATAATATGAGAACTTTTTTTTTTTAAAAAAGTACCACATATAATAAATTCCAACGTGTTGAACTTTTTCTAACTCCGAAAGGTAGAAACTTCGCAGCTATCGATTGTATACATTATATTGAAGGACGGAAGAAGATTAGATTTAAAGATAATATAAATAGGTACTTACCATTCAGACCCATTTCTTTACTAATTTTCTTCCATGTTTGGCGTGATATGTCCCTGTTATGGTAATTTTTACTACTCGTGTCCCACAGATTATGATGCGAAAACACTGTGAGTATTAGTTTCTCATTGTCCATATCAAAGAAGTTGAAATTCGCACGAACGATCCTGGATCACGCCGGTTGCCACTGTTGCAACTCGCAGTAGATCGGACGAAAACTCGAGCTGATTTCAACGACCTGCGTGCTGCTGCGTATACGGACGAACTCGTACGACCTCGCACGTCAGAACTTCGCACCTCGCGTCGGACGACCTATACGCCTATACGGTATACGCATATTCAGTAGAGCCGCTCTCATTTTCTTAGTTATAGCGTTTGAGATCGAGTTCGTATCGTTCGTCCGTATACGATCGCTCGTCAAAACAACATAAGTTCTCTCCGCGAGAACATCATAAGTCTAGTGCATACTTGCAACTTCCTTCGATTTACAATTATTTAATAAATTTAAATAATTTGGAATAGATTTCCGTTTTAACACGTTGAATGCCACGGGGGTCACCGGTGACCGGCTCTTAACTTGGCGGCGACGCCATGGGGGCCACCGGTGACCGGCGCGCCCAAATTGATATAGAAATATATATAATTTCAAACAAATGTCAATATCTAAAATTTTGTATTATTACCATCGTCGATTCAAACAGTGACCCCTGTCGCAATGAACATGTCAAACATGGTTTTATACACTGTAACTTATCTATTGCATATAATATTTCAACATTATATGTATCACATAAAAGACAATTCATCGTGGCGCCACGGACAATTTCTGTAAAACCGGCGTGGCATTCAACGTGTTAATTAAAGCTACCTTGCTCGCAAAAAAGATACGAAATCACCGAATTGCCCTCATTTACCAAAACTTACTTCTCGGTGAAAGTAATTATTATTCGTTTCGCGTGGTACACGGCTTTTGAAGGAAACAATATTTCAAATCGGTTTAAGCGGAGCTCGTCGTTTGTTCATTGAAATTTACTTTACATGTTCAGAATCAATTCGACGGAAGAAAAGATAGAGATATGAAAGGAGGAAAAGAAGAAATGAAAATGAAACAACGCGAGGAAGACGAAGAGAGGAGGAAGAAGACGAAGGGAGGAAAAAGAAGACGAAGAGAGAAAGAAGAGAAAGAAATGTTCAATTCGCGTTTTACTTATTTAAGAAGATGCGAAGGAAACTGCAAAGCGTCGAATCTAATCAAGATCAACCGAATTCGTCGATTTTAAGTGCAATTTTTTTCTTTTTATTTCGAATACTATCATTTCGTAAAAAAAGCAGTACAATATATCGAAATAATACTATTAAATATGAAAATATTTTTGTGATCGATTGTACGGTCACATACAGACGACTAACTTGTCGTGACGCGCGCAACGTATACTGGTGTACCGAATACTGCATACTGCATACTGTATTATACATGTATGCACTGTATACATACCGTATACGGTATGCGGCATTCGAACGTTATAGTCGTCCGCGTATGATCGGATTTGATCGCCCGAAATGGATGGTTACAGAGAGCGTATCTATTTCTGTAATATTATCTCGTGCAAAATGCATAGGAATTTTACTGATTATTATTTGAACGGNCGCACCTCGCGTCGGACGACCTATACGCCTATACGGTATACGCATATTCAGTAGAGCCGCTCTCATTTTCTTAGTTATAGCGTTTGAGATCGAGTTCGTATCGTTCGTCCGTATACGATCGCTCGTCAAAACAACATAAGTTCTCTCCGCGAGAACATCATAAGTCTAGTGCATACTTGCAACTTCCTTCGATTTACAATTATTTAATAAATTTAAATAATTTGGAATAGATTTCCGTTTTAACACGTTGAATGCCACGGGGGTCACCGGTGACCGGCTCTTAACTTGGCGGCGACGCCATGGGGGCCACCGGTGACCGGCGCGCCCAAATTGATATAGAAATATATATAATTTCAAACAAATGTCAATATCTAAAATTTTGTATTATTACCATCGTCGATTCAAACAGTGACCCCTGTCGCAATGAACATGTCAAACATGGTTTTATACACTGTAACTTATCTATTGCATATAATATTTCAACATTATATGTATCACATAAAAGACAATTCATCGTGGCGCCACGGACAATTTCTGTAAAACCGGCGTGGCATTCAACGTGTTAATTAAAGCTACCTTGCTCGCAAAAAAGATACGAAATCACCGAATTGCCCTCATTTACCAAAACTTACTTCTCGGTGAAAGTAATTATTATTCGTTTCGCGTGGTACACGGCTTTTGAAGGAAACAATATTTCAAATCGGTTTAAGCGGAGCTCGTCGTTTGTTCATTGAAATTTACTTTACATGTTCAGAATCAATTCGACGGAAGAAAAGATAGAGATATGAAAGGAGGAAAAGAAGAAATGAAAATGAAACAACGCGAGGAAGACGAAGAGAGGAGGAAGAAGACGAAGGGAGGAAAAAGAAGACGAAGAGAGAAAGAAGAGAAAGAAATGTTCAATTCGCGTTTTACTTATTTAAGAAGATGCGAAGGAAACTGCAAAGCGTCGAATCTAATCAAGATCAACCGAATTCGTCGATTTTAAGTGCAATTTTTTTCTTTTTATTTCGAATACTATCATTTCGTAAAAAAAGCAGTACAATATATCGAAATAATACTATTAAATATGAAAATATTTTTGTGATCGATTGTACGGTCACATACAGACGACTAACTTGTCGTGACGCGCGCAACGTATACTGGTGTACCGAATACTGCATACTGCATACTGTATTATACATGTATGCACTGTATACATACCGTATACGGTATGCGGCATTCGAACGTTATAGTCGTCCGCGTATGATCGGATTTGATCGCCCGAAATGGATGGTTACAGAGAGCGTATCTATTTCTGTAATATTATCTCGTGCAAAATGCATAGGAATTTTACTGATTATTATTTGAACGGGGTAATTTACGGAAGTATTTTCGGATAAATTCTGAAGCGAAATGGGCAATGTAATTTTTCAAATATGCGAAAGGAAAACGTACGAAGTGCCTTTTGATCATTGAGAAACGATTGCTTTGATTAATAGCGAAACTTACAAAATATACCCGCACCTCAGCAGGACCTTAGGTCGCAACAGATCGGACGAAAACTCCAACTGATTCCAACGACTTGCGTATATGGACGAACTCGTACGTGCGTCGTGCGGCATCGGACGATCAATAAATGCCCGGTATAACCGCTCCCATTTTTCTTTCGGCTTACGGTATTTTATCTGTTCGTTCGTTTCATCCGTAACATAAAGAGTAGAATGCGAGTGGAAAGATGCGAGAATTCCGAAGAACGTACGTGTAACAGAGATTAGAAATACAGTTGTATGCATACTGTATGTTCCCCTACGTTTTCAAATATATTTTTTGAAACAGGAGACCATTTTTCCAGTAATCGATATGAAATAGTGCGGAAATAGGAATCTATATGTGCAAAAAACTGCTGGTTATCAAATTTCAAACTTTCTCATTGTTTTCCTTTATATTATTATTGCCGTCGATAGTGTTATAAAATATATAGATCGGAAGAACTTATGATAATATGTAGACGCCACAGTATAATGCGAATATGAGTCGATCTAATTCAAGAAACATTTATTTAATAAAAGGAACTACTTGAAAATTAATTATGAAATGTACGAATTTAACAATTAATATAAATCCAACGAAGGAGAAGATAATAAATCGGTAGTTTCCGCCGATGGAACGGTGAAACGATTGAACGGGAATTCGAAAGTAGACGGAAATGCGGATTTTGAAGCACGTGAAACCTAGGAAAATGTAATCGTTAGTCATTAATCGCCTAGAGATTAATTAAATAATGAGAAACATTCTCCATTTTTAAGAAACTGAACTTGATGGAGGAAACTCATTGTCAGGTTTTTAATTCGAAAAATTTCTTCTACACTTAACCGTAGCAGCTATGGGAACACATTTAAATGCGTTTATTAACATTTAAAGGAAACAAGATTTTTCAATTTATTTGTAAAGCGGCAGTTATGAAAAAATATGTTCGAACACAGATTACGGTTTTAATTAGCAAGAAATAGTACCATAAAACGCAAATGACAACGCTCGCTATCGCCTACAGCACTTGCGCTTTATTGCAAAAGAACCATTTAAAAACGAATCCAATGTTAGAACGAAAATTACTAACGCAAACTTATCAGATGCAATGTTATTTGATTTTCTCAATCCAAAATGAAATCTGCGTTCGAACTTTTTCTGATGCGAGAAGAATACCGAAGCAAGTAATGTAATATTTCATTCGTCTCAGATGCTCAACTTATAACAGTGGTTCATGTAATTGTTACAATTAAAATAAACAAAATCCCAAATTGTTTTCGCTTGAAAGTTCTATCTGATCTATAGAACATGTATGATCTATCTTAAAACAATAATAACAAGAGAGTGTTGACAAAAAACATGGGTATGTAATTGATGTAATATGCAATTTTTTGAAAATACTTGTATATTTTCATATATTTCAATATATGTATAAAAACACATAAGGACAAAATTAAAATCACATTCAATATAATTACTTTATATTAAGATTAACTACTGCCCCGGTGAATAAATCTTTACTTGACGATCCGATACCTTGTATATATACCTTGATATCTCTGACCAATTGTGTTCTTTTCTTATATGATCTATTCTCCAATTAATTGTTATCTTTCCAGATACATCACTGGAATATCCTGTTTCAAAGGAATCGATCATAACGAATAAGTGAGCCATATATTTCAATATAGGAACAGCTATATTAGCCATGCAATTCTGTAGTTTATCATCGTACGTGTGTATTGCAACACAAAGTTGAGATGTATTATCACATTCAATGAGTGACCGTAAAAGTTTTAAATAACACATAGACTCTCTTAATGTAAATCCTAAATTGTAAAGGTGACTCATGTCGTCGATTACAATGATTACATTTTTATGATACTTTTTCATTTCATAATATTCATTTTTTATGATCCTAAATAAGCTGTCACTTATACTGTTAGTGACATCAGATATTTCTTTAATACTAGTCTCGTGTAGTTTGCATGTCTCTTCGTTATTTCTACTTTCCATATTAGATCCAATAATTTTCATTGGTTCTATTATATTAACTTTACCTTCTGCTTTTAAAACTTTGAGATTATAGCCAAATTTCATACCTACATTGTGGTAATGATTGAAGGTATTATGAAAAAGTACAAAACAAATTCCATTATTGTCGCTTAATGCATTGAGGATTACTGAATTTAACACAAAATTCGCGTTGCTGTTGTGTCGTTCTTCAATTAAAATTAATTTTCCATCCATATTTACTTTATCAATGCCAAGTATATTAGATACTGGATCCATTTTACTATCAACCATATACTCTAAAAATAAGAAAGTAAGTATTCACGTTTTAAAATACTTATAAATCTTTGTTTATTTATAAAATTGTCAATACTCATATTTATTTACATAATTGCATTGTTTAAGAAAATAGTTGTTCATTTCATTTTGTTCATCTGTGATATAATAACCTATAGATATCAAAACAAAATCGTAACATTTTCATTCGATCGTAATAACATTTGCAACAGATTAGAAAAATTTCATCAAGTTACACAAACATAGAAACGTATGTATGAACAACTACTTTTAATTTAACCCCTTAATGCACAATTATTTTTAGCTGTATATATACCCGTCTAGAACACTTGAACTCAATATTTAGAATAAGTTTAAAGTTGATCCCGATTGATTCTCAAGAGAAAATTTACATCGTTCAACCCTCGATGCTAAAATGTTCTTGAATTTAAAGAAGTTGATGGAACTCAAGATTGTTCTTAGTTAAATTTGTCTAACCGTGGACTATGTCCAGCAGTGTCCAGATTGCGCCACAAAATGGCGATGGATTTCAGAGGGGGCAACTATTAAACATTAGAAGAAAAAAGAATTCACTGTACATATTATTACATAGCACTGTATTCTATTAATGAATATTATTAACACATAATTAATAAATCATCTCGTTTTTTTCCAGTTCAAAATTCATATAACCAATTTCCTTATAAATAATCTTGTAATAATAATAATAATAACTGTACAGACTCTGAATGTAATAAATCTCAAATCTGTCCATTTTATTATACAGCTACATGAATAGACAAATGGTGCTCTGTCTATGTTATTTATTCTGTCATAAAAATCATATCTATTTCAAATGCGTTTATAATATAAACGTAATTTAAAATTGTTCTCAATTTAAAATATTTCATCATCACTAACTTCTTACACTCTATATTAGGTCACAATATTAACATTTAATTTCCTAATTTCTCTTGACATTAAAGCTGTGTATCTCATATGAATCATATTTTTCACGTGTCTTCGGCAACGGTAAGAGATACGAAGTTATGTCATTATTTAAAATATTACTATTCGATTGCTGTTACAGAAGTAGGTCACTAGCAAGTATCATAATTGTGTTTTCATTATATGTTTGTCATTGTAAAAAAGGTTTATTTCAAAATTTAATACAAACAATATTTTTTGTAAAACATTGTAGTAAAATAAATTAATATATTTAAGAGTAGAGGGAGCTAAAATTGCTTTGCAATCTACTGAAATTATTGTTAAGTATAACAGTTTAGTGAAATTTAATTAAAGATCTTGTTTATAATCAAATATTCAACTATTTGCAATTGTTTCTGATGTCTTATAACTTCTTTTTTTACTGGTACGATAGTAACAATAATAATATAATTGTTGATACATAGACACGTTGACCTAATCAGCACGATTTTTACTACTATTCACACTTACTTGCTAGTATTCATCAAGAAGATCTCTAATATCTTTACAAAGAGATGCAAAATCTGGCCTTTGATGGCTTTGCAGATGCCAACAAGGGTACATAATTTTTACATAAATAGCTTGTGGACAAGTAGATGGGCAAGGAAGACGTGTGCCTCTTTCTAATGCAGCTAATAATTCTGTACTTCCTTTCTCTTGCTCGTTTTGAAGACGCTCTGTACTTGAATCGACTCCGGGTAAACGGGGTTCTTCGCCAAAGCCAAATGTTTCATACATGGTCACGCCAAATGACCAGACATCTGATCGAGTAGAAAACTTTCCATCCCTAATACTTTCAGGAGCATACCTAGACAACAATCATTTTTTCAAATTCGTGCTTATGCTGTTTCGCATTCGTCAAAAATTATTGCACTACAATAATTTCAATAGTTTGTAACCATTCTTCAGTCGATTTTCAAGGAATGTAATTATATAAATATTAATTTAATAATATTTACTACATTTACCATTTAATAGGAAGTCCACGATCTGTCTGCAAGATATAATAATCGTTTTTTCCTGTAACTTGGGCCAGTCCAAAATCACTAATTTTGACTCTATTTTCATCTGCAACTAGAATATTTCTTGCAGCTAAATCTCTATGAACAATGCTCATACTGCCCAAATAATCCATTCCTGTTGCAATATCCAAAGCAAAACTCAACAATCTCCTATTTGTCAATTCTTGTTTGTGAATTGCTAGATAACTTTGTAATGAACCATGCTTTACATATTCCATTACTAAGCAGACTTCTGGTTCTGATATTACTCCAAGAATTTCTACCACATTCGGATGTTTTAGGGTCTAAATTACATTTCAAAGATAAAATATATGATTATATTACATACTATATATTAATAATCTCTAATATTTTCAGTACCTTCATTATGGCAATTTCTCTTTCAAAATCTAGTATATCAGCTTCGAGTGCTCTAGTTTTCAATTTTTTAATAGCTACTTGTTGTGGTTCTATATCCTTCCCGTTATCTCTTTCAAGAGTGCCCCTATAAACTTCTCCATAAAAACCTTGACCAATTCTACCTTGTAAGATTACGTTACAGTCTATATTTAATTCATATATGCCTCTCAATTGACCTGAAGAACCATTACTGCTTCCTCTAGAACCACAATCTTCTGTTCCCGGTTCATTTCTTCCTATTACCTATTTAATTAATATTATAATATCAAATATTTCTTAAGGATGCTTGCCTAAGGTATTTTATGATATAGAATGGAAGTTAATGTGTAATGAACAGTAAAAGTATAATATATATTAACAGATATTACCTCACCCAAGTTGCTATGATGTCCAATTCGAAGAGCTTGTGTGGAGTGCCCAATGCGATTTATATTAGGAATTCTGTTTTCAGAAATTGAGCAGCCTTCCGAGTCGCGTCTAGCGCCAGACAGCAAATCTAGATGTGCAGAAAGATCTTCGGTACTATCTATGTAGTTTTCATTAGTATTCATCAAAGATTGCATACCTAAAATTTAAAGGTAACTCGTAAAAATTCAATTTTAAGTATAAAAACCAGAATTAATACTTAATACTTAATTATATCTTACTGTCATCAGTATCATTCCAGGGAAGGCTTGTATTGTATGTATATAAACTAGACCTTGATTCACTACATATTGATTTGCTATCGATATTATCTGAATTATGCTCATCAAATCTTTTTGATCCAGAGCTGAATAGTTTAGGAAATGCTGTTGTATAAGCATGACTCCTTCGAGAATTGTAAACTTGATATAAAATTTGATTTATATCTCTCATAATTGTTTGTGGTTGTTTTCGAGTACCGCTTAAGTCTCCCCAACAGTCAAGCATTAATCTATAAACTTCTGTAGGACAACCATTTGGCATAAGTAAACGTTTCCCGGATCTGTAGTACTTTTTCATAGCAGCAGCATTTTGGGAATCTAATAATGTAGCTCCTCTAATACAAAGTAATATACAATTTACAATATTATAACAATTCTGATTGACCACTACAGTGTAAACAATACATTGTTAAAATTATATATTGTTCTATGGATGTTGGAAAATATTTGTTATTTACAACACCTAGTAAGTGATATTACCTAGTAAAAATTTGCCAAATTGTTGTTCCAACAGCCCAAACATCAGCTTGGAAACTATGTCTGGCTAATTCTGGATCATTATAAGTTTCAGGAGGGAGCCAATGAACATCTGTTTCCGTATATGTAAATAATCCTGGGTCAGCTAGTTTAACTACAAAACTGTTATTAGTGTGTGCATGTACTAGGAGCTTGTTGCACCTAATATTGCCATGAACTACACCATTTTCTTCAAGGTGCCAAAGTGCCGTTGCTAAACAAGCTGTTGCTTCTACCATATCTACAGTTTTAATAGTTTGAGAAGAAGAACTGCGCAGATATTCATCAAGGGGTCCTTGTTGTACCAATTCCAAAATCATTCCAATTGATGGTGTGACAGTTAGTCCATATGATCTGAAATATATTTGTGAATTTCCTTATGAAATTTATAAAACAAATATTAATACTATTTATTCTCATATAAGTATAATCGGTATAACAATATGTATATCTTTTTTCTTTTATAATACCAATACATTTACTACCATATTATATCATTTCTTTCAAATATACATGTAAAGATAATGTGTTGTTGCAGAGTTACCTTACAAGCGCACTAGAACGTAATTGACACCATTTTCCAGCAAGATCCAGGAATTCTTTTGTATAATTGACTTCTTCTTCTTGTTTTAAAATTTTTAAAGCAACTTCTAATTTTTGGCCTTTAGTTATTCTCCAAATTCCTCTATATAGGGCTGTTGGTGAATAATGTTGAGTCTCTGTACCTCTTAAAAAAGGTTTATAAAGTTCAAGTTGATTTCGTGGTACACAGTGTGGTCCAGTTTTTAAAACTGATGCTACAATTTCTTCATCAGCTGCAACTTCACTCACTGCACTCTCAGAAGCACAAAGCAGTAGCGATGATTTATCTTAAACATAGAAATATCAAAACCAACTTGATTCTGTAAAGAATCACACCTAGTTCAGGTGATCATTATATTCTTGATACTGTATACAACGAATAGTTTTAAAATATAATAAAGATAAAGAAGTATTACCATATTCAGATGGTGGTAAACATTCTGAAAGATATGAACTCCCTTCAGAATCTTTAAACGATGCAACACATTGTGCTAATGAATTATATTGACCAGAAATACCAGTAATAACAAAATCATCTAATAACACTCTTTCTTCTATTCTTTCTGTAAAAAGTTTTCCTTCCTTGTTACATGCATCCAAGTAGTACACATTATATTCTGTTTCACTTTCTCTAAGTAAGTAAGAACCAGGCTTATTGGCACGTTTCTGTTGAAGTTTCACATACGAGAAATCTTGCCTAAAATATCATTTCAATCTTTCATTACTTTTCTTATATCTTCTTGTACCTTCTTTAGTTGTTTCAGTAATATAATTTATAATAGTAAATAGTAAAGTAATACAATCTATAAATTGTACTCCAAAATTAATAAAATAAATAGCATTTTTTAATAGCATTTAAAAACATTAAATAGATGAAATCCTACCCAACTGGACCATGACATTTGAGTTTATGTAGCCTTTCTAAAGTTGGGGTAACAATTTCACCACACAAATTAAATGTCCATTTCACGGCTAAACGATAATAACCATCCAATGCAGAAACGAAGGACATTAAGTGTGCATTTTTTCCAAATGTCAGATATGATGGTATACCATTTTTTCTTGAAATTTCAACTGTATTGTCTTGTCTAAAACATGAAAAATACACAAATTAGTCAGTTTTTTAAATAAATTGCAAAATATTATATAAAGTTTCAAAACTTGAATAAAGTTAAAATTTGTTAACTAAGGACACTTCTTAATGTCATGAAATTCAAATTACCACTTCGATTTACATTTATATTGTATGTTATAAGCAATTTGTTCATAGGAAGAGTAAAATAATAACAAGAAAAAACAGTGATCTGTTACCGATATTTGTTTTATTTAGAAAAAATATTTAATACAATGATTATTTTGATATCAATATTTTTCAGTAATTGATTTACAGTGTATAATGTGTATGATTCTATGCTAGCATATTGAATGATGATATGCTCCTCGATATTAGCCATTTTGATCGTGACTTTTGCATGTACTCTATGTTGGTCATTGTGTTCTTTCTGCAAACAACTATCTGCAAAAAAACATGTTGCTATTTAAAAAAACAGTTACTTTTAAATCTCTAAAATACCAAATGTATCAACCTATATAAGTTATACATTAATATACACAATCAACTACCATCTTTTAGAAGAGAGAAGGTTGACATTCAAATACTGCTAATAAGTTCCTCTTAAACTCTTTGATAAATTCATTCAATTTCTCATAGAGAAAAGCATATGAACTTTGATTTATGAATTTTTCTTTAAATAAAGTAATATCTATGTAAATCAAAGTGATAATTGTGTCTAATTTCTTATTCTATATATTAAATAATTAATTGTAAACCTTATAGAAACAAAACACAAATCTTCAATTGCACATAATATAGTCAATGA